CCCTCTGTAGGGCCTTCCTACCCTCCAGCAGATCGACGTTTCCACTCAACTTGGTGTTGTCTGCAAACTTACTGAGGGTGCACTCGATCCCCTCATCCAGATCATCAATGAAGATATTGAACAGGACCGGCCCCAGTACTGAGCCCTGGGGAACACCACTCATGACCGGCCACCAACTGGATTTGACTCCATTCACCACCACTCTCTGGGCTCAGCCGTCCAGCCAGTTTTTAACCCAGCACAGAGTGCACCCATCCAAGCGGTGAGCAGCCAGCTTCTCCAGGAGAATGCTGTGGGAGACAGTGTCAAAGGCCTTACTAAAGTCCAAGTAGACAACATCCACAGCCTTCCCCTCATCCACTAAGTGGGTCACCTTGTCATGGAAGGAGACCAGGTTAGTGAAACAGGATCTCCCTTTCATAAACCCATGCTGGCTGAGTTCTTGCCGGCTCACTGATCCCGACTGACCTAACTGTCTGTCCTCTAATATTTGTTGGTTTTCTACTTGTTCCTTTTTTCAGTTCAAAAATAAATGATTCAGTAGAGTCCCAAACTCAGAAACTATCAGAGCAGAAAGAGGTATTTCAGACACTCTCATATAGACTACAGGCTTACCTTGCATATAACTGGTGAAATAATACCACAGTTGACTAACCCCTGCGAAACAGTATCTAAACAGAATATTGAGGTGATTTATCATTAAACTTTTGCCCTTAACAGCAATGTAGATCTGTGTTATGTCCATGTTGGTATTTTATCCCTGACCTAGGATTTTTTTTTTCTTAGTAGCTTTTTGTGTCAAAAGTTTCTTGGACTATTTTTAAACTTTGTCATCAGGTGCTATGCATTTCTTTCGACAAAGTAGTTTGAGTGGCAGAAGCAGCATAGGCGTGCAAGTTTACAATGAGGACTCGGGTTTCTGCTGAGCTCTATGTTATAGAATCATAGAATCATTAAGGTTGGAAAAGACCTCTGAAGTCATCAAGTCCAACCATTAACCTAATTGCAAGGTCCACCTCTAAACCATGTCCCTAAGCACCACATCCACACGTTTTTTGAACACTTCCAGGGACAAAAATTTGCACCACTTCCCTGGCCAGTCTGTTCCAATGCCTAACCACTCTCTCAGTGAAGAATTTTTTCCTAGTATCTAATCTAAATCTCTCCTGGCACAACCTGAGGCCATTCCCTCTCGTCCTGTTGCTTGCTACCTGGGAGAAGAGACCGACCCCCACCTCACTACAACCTCCTTTCAGCTCCCTCAGCCACTCCTCATAAGACTTGTGCTCTAGACCCTTCACCAACTTCGTTGCCCTCCTCTGGACACGCTCCAGCACCTCGATGTCCTTCCTGTAGTGAGGGGCCCAAAACTGAACACAGTACTCGAGGTGCGGCCTCACCAGTGCCGAGTACAGGGGCATGATCACTTCCCAAGTTATGCCACTTAGCCAAACCCTTTAAAGTCTAAATTATGCCTGCCAGCTCTAATATATTCATTACCTCTTAGGCATTTCTGTAAGACATTATTGAGACATAATTGTCTTTGCAGAAGACGAGTGCTGGTTAGATGCCTTCAGATCATGCTTTTCTAAGTGTTACAGTTTTTAATTACTTTTTCCCCTACAGATATACAGTCTTACAATTTCTCATGTTACCCTGCAAGATTTTTTAAAAAACAGATATTTTCTACACTGTAAACCTCCTGACTTACTTTAAACCAGAGATTGGATGCTTTAATATTTCAGTTAAGCTATTCTTAAACTTTTCCTAAACTTGTAAATAAGCATCACCCAAACTGAAGTAGGACTTTATAAAGTGCAATACTAGCCTATTAGGCCAATTTATTTTCCTTGTAAAATGCAGGCAGTCTGCCTTCAATTATATTTTTAGATCACGAGACATGAAAGTGTTATTGCAATTTTTTAAATTTGTCTGCTTCCTAGTCTTGGAGACCACTTTCTTCTTATTATTAAAAAATAACAGATCTGGTATAGCAATTGCACCTCATCGATGAACATTGCTGAAAAACATTTTCTGAAATTTAGTTTGGTCATATCTTCTTGTTCAGTTTTATCACAACAATACAATGATTCTTTCAGAGGTAGCTGTTTGGCACACTTCTATCTTCCAACGCACAAAAGGTTTGCTTTTGTAGTTTGTTTCCTCTTACTTGTTAGCTTCATTCCAGTGAGGCTTTCTAATTTCCGTAGTATCTGTTCATTTTAAAACATCTTTTGAACTATATTCAAGAGAGACTCCCTTTCTCCAGCTTTGCCTTTTTTGTTCCATGATTACATATCTCTTGAGACTCCATGTGTTTTGAATTAAGTGATTTGACTGAAATATTACTATCTAAACCTTACAGTGACTCTTTAACACCTTCCAGATATTTGACATATGGCTTTAATGATAATGTGGCAAATACTACTTAGTGGTGTGGCACTATTGCTTCAGTGGCTGCCGGATGGTATGCAGGACCCATTATTATCTTACGAGTTCTAGAACTTACTGTACCAATAAACAAGAGCATCAACAATATTCTTCTCTAAAATTTGAACATTGAGCTGTTTGACCATTTTTATACAGGATGCTGATGACTAAGCCTTAGAATTTTAATTTTGATGCCTCTGAACTCCCATAGCAGTGTATATTCAGTTGCCCTAAATTCTTAATTCAAACGTTGACAGCATAGACCCACTGATAGGTTTTTTGTCTTTCATGCTGAGTTTTTTAACTGCATAGATTCATCAGTGTGGTCTCTTATCCTCCAAATTTGCAGGTTTTGCGAATCCGTAGGTTCTTACGGCTACTGTGCTATCTCCTACCCCCTTACCCTGCCTTTCCTTATGGCCAGATACGACTCTGCAGGCTTCTCTGCCCTATTACCCAGGCTGTGAAAAAGGGCGGGTATCAGTCAGTCATTACCTTTCTAATCAGCCAGTCTATGTGCTCAACACAAATAAATCAAATGTCTTTTTATCTCGATATAATCCCCTGTAAATTAACATGGTTAAACGTTCACAGACTGTTCAGACCGTTCCTGAACCCCACTGAAGTGCTGAATTTGAAATGAGGAATTTTGGTCTTTCTGGTAACTGATTTTCTGGCAGTGATTTGTGACTGTGCTCGTTACTCTATCACCCCAAATCAGGCTGTGTGTTACCCACCCCATTTGAGAATCCCAATTAGCAGACTGCTGTGCCACCACTTTTCTCATATTTCTTAAATGAACAACCCCACTCCCCCAAAAATGCATGCCAAGAACTGGCAAGACCGCTTGTGGGGAGCCGTGCTAAGGGTACAGAGGGCACATCAATTCCTGGTTTTAGATCCCACAAAAAAAAGTTATTTAGTGTCCTTCAAATAGCATTGAGTAAATAATTTGCAATAAAAAAAAGAACCCAGTGACGCATCTAAACTGAACCAAGCCCAATCTGTCCCTCGCAGCTGGAACTCGGGCGCCGTGGCCAAGCCAGGCGCCTCTGGGGCGGGGGCGGCCGGAGCCCCTGAGGCTGGCGGGCTCCGATGTTGTGCTGCGGCGACGGCCCCGCTGGTCTCCCGACTTGCCTGGCTCAAGCAGCAGTGGGGCGGCGCAGCCCTGCCTGCCCTGGGACGGCGGGGAGAGGAGGCCCGGCGACCGGACCGCCTCCCGCCCCGGGGCGGGCGCTGGTCCTGGCCTCGGCCCCGGAGCAGGCGCATAGGCCAGAGCCCACCATCCGCGACCGCTCGGCAGGGAAAGATGGCGGCGGCGCTGCGGTTGTGGAGGCGCGGTGTCCGTGGCGCTGCGGCGGCTTGCTTCTCTGGCACCGGGCGGGTAAGGCGCTCCCTGCTGTGGTGCGGCCGAGGGCAGTCGGCCGGCGCCTCGGGGGTGCTCCGCGACATCCCTCCCCGCTCCCCCGGGGCTGCCCGGGCGCCCTTGTCCCGTCAGAGGACACGGCGCGTCGCCCCTGACGGGCCGTCCCCGAGCCTTCGCAGAGGTGCGGCCTCTGCTCCCCTGGCCGTGGCCCCCTGCCCCACCGCAGGGCAGTTCCCGTTTCTCTCCCGTTCCGGTACCGGCTGTGGAGGCATTCGTGTCGCCCTTTGATCCCGATAGCAAAGTTACTCAGGGCGATTTAGGTGAAGTGGTTTGAGCGTTGCCGTCCAAGCGGTGACACGGCTGATTTATGTGGGTGGTGCTGGAGACCCTTCCTAGTGAGTTCTGCCCGGGCACAGCGCTTCTTACCAGTGCTTCCGAGAGGGCCTTCTGCAGTGGTTTCATGATCCACTTCCACCCCCTGGGTGAGGGTTGTTTTTTGGTTTGTTCATCTTCTGGGTGGGGCGGTTTAATGCTGTTTCCTGGCTTCTTTATATCTCTCTTTACACCTGAGGTTTAATTTCAAACCTTGACCTTAAATGGTGGAATGATTAAATTGAGTGAATCCTGTCATGGAAGCCCCTTGTGCAAGCTAGCAACGGGACGACAGCAGTCCCACGAGAAGATGGCTGAATGATACCAACTTTACTGGCTGCTTGCATTACAGTACTTTTTTTAGTCTTAGTGCAGTCTTCCTACCTGCGCCTGCTGTGGCCTGCTCCTTCATCCTCCTCCCCCGAGCAGGAGGAAAGCTGCTTGCCCAGTTTCTGTGGCGGTGAGCAAGAGGAGCAGGCTGTGTCGGTCCGTAACAGAGCACCTGGTCAGGGAGACTCAGTACAGTGTGGGGCTTACCTCCAGTTATCTCCTTATACTGGAGGGAGTCCAAACGCCGTCTTGATTTGCAGTCTCTGCCGTGAGCTGAAGTTCTCCGGAGGGAGTCCTTCTCTCTCCCTGCATACCTGGAGAGAGATGATACAAGTAGGGGAGTATTAAGAAAGACCCGAAAGAGAATCTTCACACTCCCCTTTCCCGCAGGCTTAATAGCATTCTGGTACTCCGTGAATATACGCAGGTTTTATTGTCATTGTGAGAATTAAAAAAAAAAAAAAAAATCAGTATTTTACAGACATTTGGTGGCAGATCTGATCTGTAGAACTTTGTTATTTCAGAAAAATGTTGTGACATTCTTTGTATTTTCCATTTGGTCTGCTTGTGTTCCTTAGAACCACCTTTGCTTTTATTTTTTTCTTTGTGAGAAGCCATTGCATATAGCTGAAGAGTCCAAGTTCCAGAAAGGATCCCTAAAGTACATCTTTAATACAAAAGCCGTAGGACTTGCTGCACTGGTTTACTTTTGTGATAATTCTAGCTTTAGTTTGAGCTTTACTTTCTTAATTTTGTAATTACTGTTTAGTAAATAGAACAGTAAGTTGTAATATTTTTACTATTTTAAAATAACCTTTCTTCTTCATGTCAACCTGTTGAACAATCGCATGTCTTTTATTAACAACACCATACAAGAGTAACCATTCAGTCTTCTTTCGTAAAATTATGGTAAAATTTTTTGTATTCAGATAAACACATTAAACGCTCAAGTACAAACTAGTATTAGAGAAAACAAATATAACTTATATTCTTGTAATTTTTTTGCACGTCAAAAATAAAAATAGTCCAGTTTCATCATAGTTAGAAGTGTTTGCAGCTTCGGATGAAGGTAACTTTTGTATTCTAAATAATTTGGGAATTTCTGAATTATTACTGTAATGCTGCTATCCCAAAGCATTTAACTCAGTATTTATTTTAGGGCTTGAGTTAGTTTAATGTTTTAGGATGCTAGAAATATCCTCTTGGCTATTTTTGCTGTGACTTTCTTGGTGACATCACAGATTTTCATTGCAATAATGAGATATTTTCTTATTAACATGGATCACTAGATGTAATACTGAATTTTCTTCTCTTTTCCTGTATGTTTTTAAACATGTACCAACTGTGCGTCTTTTTGCAAGGACCAGTTCATCACGAGCTAATTTGCTGTAAATGGTATTTCTGCTGGGACAGAGTATATATATATAACCAAACCTTGCACAATTTTGTCTGGGAGATGGCATTGGTTTGCTTAGCAGCTCCAGTAACAATTGGGACAGGTCTCATGGAATTTGATTCTGCCCCATTCTCCAGTAAAGAAGAATGTTTTGTTGACTACAGTAGTAAAGGATCAAAGCCTTGAAGCTACTATTGAAGCCTTTGAGTTTGTAAATATATACACATGTAATCTCAAAATCACATGGATTTGTTAAGGCTAAACTCCTTATGCAAAAAGTACAGTTCATCTGTCAATCTGGAACCCAGATCCTGCTGGGAGTCTGTAATTAGCTGGTAATGGTTTTCCATACACTTTAGTAAAAGTGACAGACATCAGAATAACTAACTTTCAAAATAACAAAAATCATGATTAAAATATTTTTTCAGTAGTTCTCTAGTTGGACTGGAACGTCTAAAAATAGCTCAGGCGCTTTCCTAGTCTAGTATTAGCATTTATGTGAAGGTCCATGTGTTTTAGTATAATACAATCTAATCATTCTTACATTCAGTTTATAATAAGCCGGTTATGGTTGTTACTTCCACTGTCATAAGAAAATCTAATCTTGCATAACAGTCCTGTATACGGAAATGAGAAAAAACTAACTTTCCTCTTTTTTTTTTCTTTTAGTTTTTCAGCTGTGGGCCAAATATGCTGCATCAAGACAGCAAAGCTCCGCAAGCTGCATTCTTTCCACCTCTTCAAAAAGTGATGTTGCCACCAAATACCTTTCAAGGGAAAGTGGCCTTTATAACTGGTGGAGGTACTGGGATTGGCAAAGGGATGACAACAACTTTGTCCAGTTTAGGTGCCATATGTGTTATAGCAAGCCGGTAAATATTAATGAAGACGTTTTAGAGCTTTCATTTAGTACTGAATGCTGAATGGATCTGTTTTGTTCTTCATAATGGATCTTGCTTTCTTCTCCATAAACTGGATAAATTTATTCTATTTACTCTATTTCAGTACACTTTTAAATTATAACGTCATGTTGTAAATACCAGAAACTTGCAAATCCATCTACAAATGTCTCATGGTGTAATCAGCAGTAGGAGGAAATAAACTAAATGCATTTCCGTGAAATGTGGCAGCAAAATAAACGACCCAGAATATTAGACATAAATTCAACAAAAGCCTAAAAGAGAACAAAAAATTGAAATAGCCATTACTGAACATTTTGAATATATTATTGCAGGTGTTCTTGATACAGACTTGAATTGTAATAAAGAATTAAAGCCGTTCCTGTTAATGCTTATGACTTGAAAAACAGCCCTGATTTTCCCTTAATGAAGATGATCTTTCTACAGTTCTCTGACGTAGCACTACAGTAACGACTAGAAAAACAATCTCATTTTTAATCAAAATAAGCAAAAGTGGTGTGACATTCGTCCAAACAGTGGTTTAGATATTTAGTTTTAAATCTGAATATGCATGTCCCTTCTAAAATACTAGTAGAGTAGTAGCTAAAACTAAGTTTGTTATGATTATGTACTCAGAATGAAAATATTTTTTCTAGCTTATCATGTTCGATTAGCTTAAGATAGTCTCTTACTGTAGTCACTTTGAGTTGCTTTGAAGTAGCACTAACCAGAAATTACTGAGATTTAGGGTTTTCTTTCCAAAAGTTAGTGACTAAATATAGTTTTTATGTTAAAGCTCAATTTTCATGAAAATCGACAACATGCACGTATGCACACACGTTTTAAGTTTTAGCTCATATTTGCTCAGAAAAAATAATCAGATTTTATTAATCTGAATTGTAATTGCATTTAATTGAAATTTAGTGACATATACTTATTTCTAGGAAGCTTGATGTTTTGAAAGAAGCAGCAGAAGAAATTTCTTCTAAAACAGGGAATAAGGTAAATTTTTACAGAATTGTGAATGTTAGTTATTATACTTAAGATGGTTATAGGATTTTTATGCATTTATGTGGTTCTGTGGGCATGTTTAATTTGCGTGATACAATTTTAAGTCTTACAGCTGCTTTTGCATTATTATATAGGTTCATGCCATCCAGTGTGATGTGAGAGATCCAGTTTCGGTTAAGAACACTGTTGCCGAAATAATCCAAGTGGCAGGACATCCTGATGTAAGTGTTCTAGTGAAAGGAAAGAACTTCAGTCTTCATTACTGTAAATACTCTGCATAGTAGGTATGAAGAAAATGACTATGACAGAAAGTTAATGGAATGTAAAGAGACACCAGACAAAAAGTGGCAGTACTTCAAGATAAAGTTCACAGTTAGGCTTTTTACTCTATTCCTATGGTTCTTAAAATGCTTAGTGGCCAAATAGACAAAAAGTTGTTGTCGTTACTCTAAGGACTATCATTTCCTTTGTGAACAGTGGGACAATTATGATGGGATTCTTTGAATTAATTAAGTGAACAGAATATTGCCCTTAAATCCTCTTGAAAAGCTGACTTAGCTGCATTAGTACTGAATTACACCTGTTGCTTATTAATGGAATATGTCACAAGAAATGGAAGTAATCATAAACTACTTCTTTGGTCCTTGCTTAGCTTATTAAAATACACTAAGAAGGTTCCAACTTGAAAACTAAGTTCTCATAAAATCAAGAAAAAAAATCTTCAGTCAAGCTAAGCATATGGTTTTTAATAGTTTGGCACAAAACGCAGAGGTCTTTACATCAGACTGTTGCTTTGAGACGGGTGGTCTGATGGGGTCTGAACAATGATAGGGACCAAATTCCAATTTGATCGTGGGAGAAACAACTCAGATTCTGCTAGCTGATAGAAAGCGTGATGAGGATGTAAAGGATAATCAGTGAGATTTAAAACTGTTCACTGTAGATTTAAAACTGTCCTATGTGTATTGTAGACACTTTGCATTCACCAAAAGCTTGCTATAGACAGGGAAGAGAACCTGCTGAATACTAAATGTGGTAAGAAGTGGAGAAACTATTTCTCATAGCTATATGCTATCACAGTGCTATAAAATAAGGCAGCTCACTGTGCTGATTTGTAGACAAGATACTCTGGATATTATTTTCACTACTAGCTACTGCAATTTTTGGCCAAAGCACATCACAATCTCCAGGTTTTAAGTGTGTGCAGAGAGGGCGGAGATTTCTTCCTATATATTACATTTTTAGTACACCAGTAATTTTCCGAATAAATACTTCCCATGACTTGTTCTTTACAAGCATGTCCTTTCTCTTTAATTTCACATATTCTGTGTGTTTAAGAGAGACTGCAGAGTAAATTGAATATTCAGTTCTTTTTGTCTAGTTTTTCTCTTAGTGACAGACATGACATGTATGTTATGAATACTGCAAGCCTGGGTATCACTGCCCCTGTGCATGTGAGGGGAGATCTCAAAGATAGACATTAATGGCAGTATCATGTTTCTTCTAGCTTTGTTTTGTTCATTCCATCCCCAGAACTGTTACTCCCAATTAGAAAGCAATCATTCTTTTGTCATATGGATTGTTTTGGCAGTCATATATATCTACCTACCTGAAAGATCGTATCATGCAGTCCTTAGTTCACTGATTTTATTATTGTGTCTTTGCTATATTTATTCAGTGATTCAAGTAACCTCTTCAGTATCTTGAGGTGTTTGGATTTTTTTTTTTTTCTTTCTTCAAACTGTGGGGAGGTCTTCAAATTGTATTTACCATCTATACGTATAGTTTATGGCTGTTGTATTTTATTTGTTTTATATTTGTGCAATATGTGCTGTGCTCTGTTTTTTTATTGACAATTTTAATGTCTTAATTTAGCCCAGTTGTTCTTCAGGACAAAGACTTTGTTTTATCTGCAAACCTACAGGAATCTAGGTGCCATTTCATAAGTAGTACACCATTTTATTGCTTCAGCATATTATATTATTATTAAATAGACAAGATCTGGCCATATAAGTTTCAGTTTAAAAACTGCTTATGTGATGCTTAGTCCCCTTAAAAAAATATATCTGACTTGCTAGCTTGAATGGCTAAGCAGATGGTATATTGAAAGTATCCTCTGCCCAATTATTGTTTGTAGAAAGGTGACAAGTGGTGGATATACATCTATTCAAAAAAAGTTTTGTAGAAGTTGCTTGCAGTTCATTAAATCATAATATTCTCTTTGTCATAACTGATTAGACTTCCTGTTATGCAACAGTCAGCTAATCCAGACTTTAGTCATCAGGTCACCTGAACATCTTTTCCTTTTTCCCATGCATCCATTATGTTAAATATGATATGTGACCTTGGAATTTGGCGGGGACAAACTTTTCTGTTAGGATGCACTTGAGACGCTATGAAAAGTAGTGACTTAAGTCACCCTCTACGCTTACAGTTCCTTAGGACTAGACTAGTAACTACAGCAGTTTGGAAATACAGCTCATTTTCTGTTACTGATACGTATCTATGCTGCAGATGTTAAAATTTCTGATGGATTATTCCCCCCCTGTTTTCCCTGCCTGCTCCCCCCCCCCATTTGGTGAGGATATTTTTTACTTTTCTACCTGGAAACACTAAGAAGTTCCTTGTAAATTCTTTTGCTTTTCTCTCAGGAAGAGTTATTTTTAGTTAACTCTTTGGTTTTCCTTTATGTGTTTCAGGTTGTGATAAACAACGCAGCTGGAAACTTTATTTCCCCTTCTGAACGACTTTCTGCTAATGCATGGAAAACAATAACTGATATTGTGCTTAATGGTACTGCTTTTGTAACTCTAGAAATCGGAAAGGAGCTCATTAAAGTGCAAAAAGGTATCCTAAAATTAAGATAAATGATAACTAAGCATAGTGACATAATATTATTACTTGCCCTCCTTGCCTTACTATTATTATAGCCAGTTTTGAGAGTTGGAAACTAAACACAATTTTTAACATCTGTTTTAGAAAGAAATTTCATTTTGAGTAAAGCTGTACTTAAATAGCACACAGTTGAACTGGGTAGCAATAACTTCATTGTAGAATCTGCCTTTAAAATTGGACCCAGAGATTGAATATGAAAATCTCATTACAGAGCTTGTACTAGTTGTAAAACGTTTTTAAAATTTAAAAAATAAGGCTTTGTTTAAAACATATGCTGTTCTTTCTTTTGAGTCTTCTATATCTATGTTGGTTTCATTGAGCAATCGAACATGTGGCATTTATTTAAATGAACAGTAAGTCAGGATGTCACTTTGAATTTTCCTCCTACACTTAAATAAATAAAAATCACAGCTGTGGTTCTCACAGAGAATATTACCTTTGAGATAATTTGAAAAAGAAATTAAAAATTGAAATCAGTATTAGATTTTATTTTCCCAGGTATAATTCTTAGTTCTAGACTACCTCGGAGTTTAATCTAATATTTTGGCTTTACCTTAAAAATGTGATAGTTCTTTGATATACTATTTAAACAAAGATTTACTTAACCAGATTATTGTCTTTAAGGGAAAGATAATGTGTGCCCTTCTATTTTATATCACAGATTATATACAAAGAATTGCTTTCATTTTACATTATATTGTAATTATGAATTCAAAAACATGAGCTTATTTTTTGATCAGAATGATATAATCTCAAATAGCATTTAAAAGCAGTGAGGTATATTATTGTGACGCCCTCACTTCTGAATCCTGTTTTCTAGGTACAGCCACTGTGTTGAAATAATCCTTTTTGTATTTGCACTGTATATCTCTAACTTCTGAATTAGTTGAATTTCTTCAAAACTCCTCTCCAAAAAGTACTCGGTGGGTTCATACTATTTAATGATAACAATATGAAGTTAATGTTGTTTCAGTAAGTCTGTAACAGTTTTGGTCAGTTGACAAAGTATGTCCCACATATATTTTAGCAACACATGAAAAAATAATTTCCACCATTCTAGTGCTAATATCCCCACACTCAAAACCCATCCCCAGCTCTGACTTACTATATCACTATAGCAAACTATTGTAATAGTTTGCTTTATGGCTGTCCAGTTGCATGCAGTGTCTCTCTATAGTAATGTGAAATATGGCTTTAAAATGCCTTTGTCTCTGCTGCTGTTGAATGAAAAACTACTTTCCTTGCTTCCCCCTTCAAATTCGGCAAAATCCAGAAGTCATTCACCTTCGTGTTGTCTCTCTTCCTTTCACTTCTAAGTTTCCAAAACATGAATTTCTTTTGCTATTACAGGCATGCCTTCTTTCTAGGGGATGCCGTCTGTAAGACTTTTTATTTAACGCTTTCTTTAAGACATGTTTTTGTAAGTAAATCAAGTGTACCTGTTTGACCGCTCATTCTCCACCTTCATTTTCTTTTTACTTGCTTGTTTTTTTACGTTTGAGCAGAGACCTTAGTTTCTGAAGTAATTTAGATGCTACCCAATGCACATATTTTAGAACAGTCTGTGAGGATACTATACATCTGACGGTTACTAGAACACTGGCACATCCTTTAGGTCTGCAGCGTGACCTACATTAAACCTAATTTAGTAAATAATAAAAGTGCTCTGCTTTTAGACTGTAAGTTTGCACTGGTATTTAAAAGGGATTTGTAATCTGCTAGTTCATTATTTATTTATGCACTAAAGTTTTATAAAATGAGAGGAGTTAACTGGTTAGATATTTCCATTTTATGAATATAGACTTTAGAAATAAAAACTGTATATGAACTGGAGTGTACTTTAAACTTCAGTGATGTAAATTCTGTGTTAGGCTCGCCCAACTCACCTCTATTTAACCTGTATTTTAAAAATTCTATTGTTTAGTTTTGCAAAATGTATAATTAACAATCAACTCTAGATAACTTCAGAGTTGTTCTGTGTTTTTTGCCTCTGTTGATTTTTCTTTTTGAAGTCTCTTACTGTAGACTACTTCTGTATAAGTAGGGTCCATGTTTTATGGGTATCTGCTGGCATTTCTATCACTGCTTGTTTATGGTTCTCTTTAGTTTCTCTTGTGTAACATTACTGTAATTTTTTAACTGAATCTCTACTTCATCGTCACATACATTCTGTCAGTAACGTATATTGTTTTAGAAATATCCCTTGGGTACGTATTCTAATTTATTTTTTTTTTTAAATACAGTAAGTAGAACAGTTATTTTAGTTACTGTGGCGTAAGTAGTGAACTGTTATCCCTTGTCCTCTATTTCCCAGTTACAGTAAGTTCATGCTAGTCATTGATCAGACAATTAAAATTTGCAATTAAAATAAAGATTAAATGAACATTTGCAGTTTCTATTATTTTCCATAATGTTTTTGCAAAATCTGTTGTAAAATATAACATATTAAAAAAGTGGTCTTTCTATAATATAGTTTGTTGTGATAATAATGGGGAAAAAGTTATGCAGGTTAACTTTGTCATAAGCCCTACTGCAGAAAAAGCTTCTGAAAATTTCTTAAAAAAACTCTTCCTCCCGCCCCACCC